TTGTTTCTCAAAAGTCGCACCTCCGTGCGTGCGCCCAGAGGCACGTATCCGCGTGACCCGCACACTCTCGTCCGTCCTCACCTTTCAACCAAGAACCTTCCATTTATACGTTACTAGCTAACGAAGAAATAAATCGCGCGCGGACAACTACACCAGCTGCACACATGCACAACAACTGACTCTCAACCGTTTCTCGTCTCCATCATCCATACTACATCAGACGCGCTGCCACCGACTACCCATTATGCAACCACCGTCGTGACATTTCTAATCACCATGCAACTACTATTTCTAACACCTGCAAACCACACTTTGCATATATATATGTATATATATAGATATATATACTTTATAAACATATACCTTGTATGTATAACGCCTTATATGAATTATTAGCTTTTGGTAGTTGTCAGGTTCGATGACAGCAGACTTTTGGCGTAAACAATCGGTTCTGGGAAAAGAAGCGAAGTGCTGCAGGTCATTATCAGTGTCAGTGACGGCATTACCTAGAATTACAGGTCGCGGTGTAAACATACCAGCAGCCGGACATGCTGGACAGAGCAGAGCAGCAAAACAATACGCATTGCGTATTACCGCGCATTGTTGTTATATTGCGGTGCGTAATACCGGTTGCCAAGGCCAGGTGCACAGACACCGCCCTGATGCGATGTTTGCGCGATAAAATTAGAACTAAGTGGCGCGTCGCCGTAAAGGTGTTGCTACGGATGTGTGAAATGATACCCCCATGCGGTCTGTCCCCGCATCCTTGTCAGTGATCAAATGGGCCCGCCGCCCACTATAGCGCGTCATACCTCGGCGATATCTGATACGCTGCTGATGATATCTAGCTGGTCCTATCTTGTATGTCACAAGTCACACGGTAGTATAGGTGGCAGGACACGCGAAGTATTTCCGTCAAACTTCTGGATCAGAGTAAGAATCTGTACTGTCTCTGGTGTGTACAGCCATGATGCGAGGGTTACAGAGGCTGGCGTCGCTGCTGGCTCTATGCCTCCTACTACAGGAGTTCCACGTTACCATGCAGCTTTCCCCCAGCGGCGAGATCAAGGACAAGGTCTCTGTGAGCAGTGAAACTCAGCAGGTAAAAAAAATCACGCGTGGCATATTTGTATAAGGCTAACGTGTAGCCGTGTGTGTGTGCGTGTGCGTGCGTTCGTGTACGTGTGCGTGTGCGTGCGTTCGTGTGCGCGTGCACGTCCATGTGCGTGTGCGCATGTGCATGTGTGCTCATGTCAGGGTTCTAGTTGCCGTTCGACAAATAACTAGTCGTATTGCGTTTATAGCAACTTGCATTAATTTGTTTCGGAGAAAATCGTTTGCGAGTTCAGAGTGTAGTGTTAATGATGTCTCGTGTCATCTCATTTAACCAAATAATCTGTGAATAGAGGCACTCTTAGACACGCGGCATGAGCACGCACTCTACTGTCTCTATCTGGGCAGTTTTCATTGCTATCGCTATATCGTAACAAGCAATGAAAATGACCTAGGTACGGTATATAATACGGTTTTGCTTTTCTCTTCACATTTTATTATAATATTAAAAAGGAGAATTACCTCTTTAGTTCTTTGGAATCGGTAAGTCACATACCCCTCATGTCTGCACGCGGCCTAATACAATAGCCACATATTAGTGTAGTGTATACTATGGCGTATGCACGTATAGACGGCTAACTAAATGGAAGTGCGAAGGAAAAATTCGAGCGAATTAGCCAAAAAACTGCAATGTTATTCTATCCAGCGAGAACGCTGCATGAGCGTGTGCGCGTGGATGCGTGTGGGCGTGTGTGCGCGTGCGCGTGCATGCGTGTGTACGTGTACATGCGTGAGTGCGTGTGCGCGTGCATGCGTGTGTGAGTGTGCGCGTGCATGTGCATGCGTGTGCGCTGCGTTCGTGAGTGCGTCTGCGCGTATGTGCGTGTGTGCGCGTGCATGCGTAAGTGCGTCTCTGCGCGTGTGCGTGTGTGCGTGTGTGCGTGTGTGCGTGTGCATGCATGAGTGCGTGTGCGCGTGGATGCGTGTTTGTGTGTGCGTCTGCATGCGTGTGTACGTGTGCGCGGGCATGCGTGAGTGCGTCTGCGCGTGTGTGCCGGTGTGCGTCTGCGCGTGTGTGCGTGTGTGCGCGTGCATGCGTGTTTGTGTGTGCGCCTGTATGTTTGTGTGCGTGTACGCGTGCATGCGTGTGTGCCTGTGTGCGTGGTTACCATGATCATGACTGACTTATGATGTTATAGGATGAACAGATTGACAGCGTCGTGATCCCCGCCATAGTGGAAACCGCTCAGCGGGCGATATCCAAACGACACACATAATATCAAGAGCGTATAAAGGTCTTTATACGCTCTTCTACGGCCTTCTTTATACGCTCTTGATAATATATATATATATGGAGTGAGAGAGAGACGACGGATATTCGATTTCACGACCTTACCCTCGAACGCCTTTCCTAAATCTTCGAATGCGTCCACAAAATCACCAGTGA